GCGATACTGAACGATAGATGTAGATGTCTGGAATCATTGGGGAGCATTCAGGGCCCTAGCTACCTCTGTTATATTCCCTGTATTGTTTTCTAGTGGGTTCAGTGACTCCGGGGAGAATTTACATTTTATCATTAAAGAAATTGTACAAAATGTTGAGAAATAATCTGCTGTCTTTCTGAGAGTAAGATGAGGAGATCAATACAGCTAATGTCTGTGCATTAAGTCCAAAGCTGGAGCCTGAAGAAATTAGCCTAGCCTAGCATAAAGACTGAAAGCAAGTGGAAACAGTTAGCCTCAGTTAGAGTCATTTTATACCTATGAATATTATATTCCATTTCTGACAATAGAGCCTCCTAAATGTTACACAATGGACCTTTAATGCCACAGACAACCTCTGTTGTCTCATTTAGCCACTTTTTAACAACCTTATTTTTTCAAAATGCACAGGTTGGGTAAGATAAGGTAAGATAGGATAAGAAAGACTTTTATTGAACCCACGAAATTCACTTGTTATAGCAGCTTGAGGTAGAACACAGCAGATGAGGAAAAAAAGATATGCACATTAAATAACAAAGTAAAATAGAAAAAATACAAGATATAAAGAAAAATTATTAATTAGCATTACTGATGTATTTTATGTCGTAGAACGAAATGTACAATATCTTAAGCCTGTGTTAACCACAGACCTTATTTCAGACATCTAACTAAAACCAATTCAAAAACCCCATTGACTTCAAGGAGAGGTGAGAGAAGTGCAAATTGCAAACTCAGTTCCAGGTTTTAGGAATCGTTGTACATTCTATAGAATTGCAAAGTGGGAGGACCTATTTTGGGTGATCCACGTTCTGGAGGTAGAAGTCCAATACATTTTCCCCATAAATGATTACGCAAGTCCAAAATTACACCCAGTTGGAGCACTTCTAGAGCACAAAAAATCTCCCACTTTAATAACCAGTACTGAACAACTGAGTTACATGTGCTGCTAATAGCAGGTAAAAGCTATTATTTTTGCTGAAAAACCTGAAAAGCCAAGGAATTCACTGCTGCTCATATTCACACCTATGACTGGCTTCCTCTCCCTAACAGTGGCGGCTGATGGGTATTGTAGTTTTTGGAGCCATCCACCGTTTCAAACTGGTGGACTGAACCTGATTTCTCAAACACAAAGCTGAAAGCAAACCTAGGATTCACATTTTCTCTTTATACAAGATAGTCCTGTGCTTCTATGTTCAGTAACATTGTGGTTTATAATCAAACATGTCAAACAACAAGAAAAAAAAAACTTCCAAAATAAAATAGGTTTGACTGTTATTATCTACTGCCATGCATATACTTTTATAGCCATGAATATGCTCTCAGACCTCAAGCACTGCTCAAAAATATCTCAAAGGATGTTGGAGGAACTTGCGATAAACAAGCCTCAATTCATCACTTGCACATCTTTCAAACAAGAACATACTCGCCAAATATGACACAACCATTTTGCAACACAAAGCATATTACATTGTCTGGGTTTATGTTTGTATGTTTGTATGTTAAAGCCAAAATGCTGATTCTGTATCTTCTTACCAGAAAACAGGATAGATTATAAACATACACAACAAGACAATGCAGAAACATGATATGACATAGGCATAACCTGGAGCCTGACAAAGTGCTGTAAATGTGTAATGTTGGATAAATGCGATTTTTAAAAATTAAAGGAATCTCATTGCTCTTTTGCTATGTCCATAATTAATGATGAACAGACCCACTTCCAAGACACTAGCTTACATAAATATTTTCAGTTTGGATGAAGGAAATGTAATCAAGAGAAATCCAGCTGTTTCATTGGCAGCTGTACAGGGATAGGACAGGGATATGGTGGATCAAATGAGGATATGCAACAGAATGTCATGGTTAGAAAGATACAGTTTATTTGATTACTGAAGCTGGTTCTTTAGGAAGTGATAACTGAATCAATCTGTGACCACATGTTTGTTTACCATATATGGATCGATTTTCTATACTTTTTGTGAACATTGCAAATATATATGCATATAAGTGCATGACAAACATTTAAAGGAAAGTGTTGTTATTGCCTGATTTACTGTATATCTGCTACTGTGGAAATTACATGCTTATGTTTGCAGATGAAATGTTGCAATCAGAAATCCCACAGGTGATCAAACACTTTGCAAAGAACAAACAGAGGTCTGACATAAGTAGATTTGCCATGCTTTAAACACAGAGCAATGCTTGGAGTGTATGTCTTGAGCAAATGGATGCTTCTGATTGTACAGGCAGAGGAAAGATTGTAGGGTTGTAGCTGTACAATCTTTGTATGGACCCCCTAGCCATTATAAAACAAATACAGATAGGTCTACACTGTGTAGCGATTGATTGCTGGTCATTGGACTTGATTGCCATCGTTGTTGTCGTCATCGTCATCATCATCTTCTTCATGTTCATCATCATCAGTCGCTACTATTAGTGTAGTTGTTGCTACTGTTGTTGTTGTGCACCTGTCTGTCTGTCTGTCTGTCTGTCTCTCTCTCTCTCTCTCTCTCTCTCTCTCTCTCTGTCTCTCTCTCTGTCTCTCTCTCTCTCTCTCTCTCTCTCACCCCAACTGGTCGAGACAGACCACCCACCTAGAGCCGAAGGATCTGTCCTAGGTTTCTGCCTTTTAACAGGCAGTTTTTCCTTGCCCTTGTCGCCAAGGTCTTGCTCATGGTGGTACTGTGGTACTGCTCTATTTGAAAAGTGTCCTGAGATAACTTCTGTTATGAATTGGCGCTATACAAATAAAATTGAATTGAATTGAATTGAATTGAATTGAATTGCTACATTCTTTAAACTACACTCATTTAACACACATATAATCAAATTACAAACAAAAACTGAGCCTTCCTAAGCCATGGCCATTTTTGCTCTGTGCTCAAATAACAGTTGAGCAAGCCTCGGTCAGAACCTTGGCCAACTTCCTCCTTTCCTGTAGTTGATATAGATAGATATGCTATATGCTAGGCTAATCTATGTTGAAAAGACAACTCCATTTTGAAGATGGTTAAAAGATAAAAGTGACTATATTTTTATAGTCACATCATAAGTTAGCTAGAAAAACGTGAGCTAAACTACATCAGTCATTAGCTAGTGAGTTAGCTAGTGTTTTGCAAGGTACTAGGTAACTAATTTACATGAATTCAGGTAGTTACAGCTAAAAGCTAATGCTAGCAAAACACTAGATAACTATAATATACTATACTATATACTATAATAGCTTATTTCCATTGTCATTATTTAAATAGCTAGCTAACTTCCTGAGGCGATTGTGGTCCTTCAACATCTGCAGCAAACTGCTGTGGATGTTTTATCAGTCTGTGGTTCCTAGCATCCTCTTCTACACTGTGGTGTGCTGGGGGGGGCATATCCAAGAAGGACACCTCCAGACTGGATAAACTGATCAGGCGGGCCGGCTCTGTGGTCGGCATGAAGCTGGACTCACTGGTGACGGTGGCAGAGAGGAGGACACTGGACAAACTGCTGGACATTAGTGACAATGCCAGCCACCCCCTGCACACCGTCCTCAGCACCCAGAGGAGCCTGTTCAGTGGAAGGCTGCTCCTCCCCAAGTGTAGGACCAATAGACTCAAGAACTCCTTTGTCCCTCGTGCCATCATACTCTACAACTCCTCACTCGGGGGGAGGAGGAAATAGGGTGAAGAGGACAGAAGAGAAGGAGTGGTAACCACTCACTGTGCAATAATAATCTACTCACACATACCTGGACAATCTTCTTACTTATTTTTTTTCTTGCTTATTTTTTTGTGCAATAACTTGATCCACCACTTAAGTGCAATAATTTAATTTAATTTAACTGCTAATTTCTGCTTAATGTCATTTATCCACTGTTTAACAACACAATGCCATATCTGTCCTATATATTTATCTTTATTTATCTATATGTATCCTCTATACAGTTCTCTACATTTATCTTATTTGATTTTTTTCCCGTGAATTTTATCTTATTTGATTTTTATTCTTATCTTATCCACAGATAAAGGCTGTGAAATGTGGTTAAAGGCCCCAAAAAAGTAATCAATAATGATGGAAATACATCATTTCATTGAAGATTTAGCTTAAAATCTTTAAGTCTTGGACTAAATATAGAATCAAAACAGATGAGCGTGAAACTTGTGATCATGAATATTGCAACTTTCGCTGTCAGAAATAATTACATTTCAAAAAATAATAATTATATAATTATAATAATTTGTTGCAGGACTACCCCAGACCCTCTGGAGCTCACTGGGAAAGGATCTATTTATCACGTTGTTTAACCTCACACAGAAGACTCTCTTTTTTTAATGTATTATAATAAACAAAGTACCAATGAATGGTATGACATTAAAACATTCAGTAAGGCAAGAGACTTTAAAACATTTAATAAAAGAAAAACAATAAATAGGACGAGTAATAAACAAACAAACAAATAAATAAAGGGACACATTAAGAAATGATTTACATGAATCAATCATTTAATATGTTTCAAGTATTCTTTGTTGCTTTTTTTATTTTTTAGCTTGACTAGAGATTGTAAAATAGATGAAACTTTGGTTTTCTATTGGACCTTTTCATTGTGTGTGTGTGTGTGTGTGTGTGTGTGTGTGTGTGTGTGTGTGTGTGTGTGTGTGTGTGTGTGCGCGTTCAGCAGCTCGTTGTAGGGTTCTCGCGCTGGGACCCACCGATCGCTCTTGTTTTCGTCATCAACCCGGCGCAACCAACCTTTACTCCTCCGCTGCTATCTATGTCCCGCCCCCTTATCGCTGTAATACAAGTGATATTTTGTTGTTTTTGAGAATTCCTGTCATTCTATATGATTAGAAGAATAGCACAGGCGTTGATACAGCTTAAACTTTACCCCTCTGATATCGACTTGTATTTTAAAACCTTATTCTACGCTTAACGTGACCAATTTCTTAGCCTGTCAATCAATACCCCATCATCAAGCTCGGTTGAGACTGCAGAGCTTTTCCACGTCAGTGTGTTTACAGAGAGCAGACTGACAGCTGCAGGAAGGTGTTCACGTTATTCCCTTATGGAGCACTTTTTTGACGAGTGAATGAATAAGCGGTGTTTGAGAACATTACGTTTTAACGCAGTGGAATGTCCGACAATTTTAAGTGTGTCTTGTTGTCGTAGTGAACTGAACTTTGGTCTTCTTCATTCACTGTTGGCCGGCTAGCCTGCTAGCTTGCCGAGCTAGGCTAGCATTAGCTACAACAGGACTCCATCTTTGAAATAGCAGCCACACACAGGTAATATATTTATTTCCAGAGAATCCAGAAGGTGTGTTTAAGTAGATGTCAACAGGCCTTTTCTGCTTTATTAAACCAAGGAAACATGTTCTTAGTGTGTGACAGGACAAAGGTTGAACACTCCTCTAACTCCCCATAGCCAATTGACACGCTAGCTAGTTGAGCTAGGTAGTTAGCTGTCAGGTTTGTGGACAGGTAATTGGTCTTATTTATGCGACAAATGTCTTCCGTGTGTTTATGAATATTAACTAAATAGTAGAAATGTGTCTCCCCAGTGTGTTTTTAGTGTGGTGGAAAGCTAACCTGCTAGCCTGTTTGCCTTTGAGTAGACGCTGCTGACCTAATCTAATTAGCCAGATAGCACCTTCCTCACTCACCTGACAGCCAACTCGCTACCGTGTGTCACTGTGTATGACTGTATTCTGTTACTTACATTATTTACATTAGATGTATTGAGTGTGTCACCAAGACTATGTTGCACCTGTTTCTGTATTTGTGACAGGTTCCAGGCAGAGATTTGGTATTGTATACATCCTCCTGGTTGTTATCATAAACCAACATCCCAGCAGCTGTCGCTCCTATCTGAGAGCGAGGGAGGAAGTCCACAGTTGACTCAACAACATGCTGTGATTCATGTGCTTTATTGCTAACCTGACAGTCAGCATCACCAGGAAAGCTCATTTCATGCAAAGACAGGTGTAAAAAAAATACCATCAGCTTCCATCGACACGTTTAAATCTAGATATCTACTATTCCAAACAGCAGGAGCCCCTTTGGCCCCTGAGCTGTCATTTAAATATAGTATATGGTTCTGATATGGCGGGGAGACATGGCAACACAGAATTTTAGATGATTTTGTCTACAGTATGAATTAGGATATTTTCAGAATGAAGAAATTAGATTAGTGGAGACATTCACTGAGAAGCCCACAGAGTGCAGATTGTAAAGCCTACTACTGCTACTAGTTAGCTAGCATAATCAGTCGAGTTAAATCACAAGCTTCTTTGTATATATCTGTAAAATTCAACGTTTCTTCATAGGTATTCAAGATTTTTTTCCCCAAACTTGAAGTTTGCCACTACTGTTGGAGCAGCTGCTAACTGCAGTTTCTTCCCCATTTCCTAGACATCTTTGTAAAAGTAGCATTATATATAAAGTAAAGACAGAAAAGGAGAACATTGTTCACTTCTTTGGACAGCTTGCATTTAAATGTGCATATACAGTGAGGAGACGCCCTCGCAGTAATGCCAACTTGTTTACTTCTGGTACTGGATTTGTGTATAGTAAAATAATGGAAGAAAAACAGGTCCAGTAATTCAAATATGGCTACCAGACTTTGTAGAATTGATCTGCTTTGGTATGTAAAGTACTTGTACGGTATTCCAAAAGAACCAGCTTGAATATAATTTTACACCAACCATTAACAGAAGGGCCCTTATCACTAGTCCACTGTATTAATATATTTTTTTCTAGCAGCTGTTCTATAACCTTTTTTAGTTATATTCCCACTTGGGAGCGCATAAATCAAAGACATATAATTAGGGCTGTGCAATATGACCAGAATCTCATATCTCATATAAATAGTTATAAGAGATATCCAGACATTTCACGATAAAGCACAATTTCTGTGACTTCAATGAATAAATAGTTTAAAATAACCACCTTTATTACATCTTGAATTATATACCTGACAAATCTTATTTGTATGTGTTTTTATATCGTTTTTCTCTCTTATTTAGAACATTTGTGGACATTTTCAGTTAAGCACGTAACAAAATAAACGTCTGAGTTACAGAGCCATTCAGTTGTCAAACATTTGACCTAAACTTATTCTACTAAGTTAACCGTACCTGCTGTGTGCACTGTGCAGCTGTACAATATCAAATACAACATCAGGTCTGGACTCAACATCAGTGAGATTGGAATCGGTGGTTTAAAAAAGATCCCCAGTGAATACTCATTTATATGACAATATATATGTCTATATATGTTATATGTCTTATAAGCTATAAGCCTGCCGCCCTGTCCCTACATCCTAGCCTCTACCTACCATACCTTCATCCTTATTATGTTGAATAGGCTGCTTACCATGAATTTAAAAGAAGCTGGCCTCAGCCACCCAGTCTCTATGCTCATAAATTTTCCTGTAAAGTAAAAGTATTATCTGGCATGGCTTTCATGACACAGGGAAAAAGGTTAATCCAACCATTTTGAGGTATACTGCTTGTCAAATATGAACAGCCTGTTATTTTGATTCTGTTTGGTTATCCATATTGGTTTAAGGCATTTTTAAGGTTCACATGGAGATTTGCTGTTTGGTTCTTAGATTATGTTTTCATTTGAGGGTGAGAGTTCATAGTTCGACTTTAAGCTTGACAACTTCATTTTCAGATACTCAGATTTTCATATTGGATATATTAAGTCCAAATAATTATAATGTTTATCCATCGCTTAAAATGAATTCCAGTGTATGACCGTGTACATGAAGTTGATTGGTTGGTTGATTGGTTGGTAACTGATCACAAACCTATCCGCTCTAATTGTTTAGATCATCTGCCCCATTATGATGTTTGCAAAATAGTACATTTGCAGGTTTCTTATAATAAGCACAGCATTATTGATATATATGTTAAGTATATTTACTTAAAGCCCCAACAAGGAACTTTGAATTAGTGGTGATTCTGTCAGCCCCTGTGGACAAAAGCGGTAGTGTTTAGCTTAGTTCACTCGTTATATTGATTTCAATGGGGAATCCAAGCCCTGGTTTAAATTTCTGCCAAAACCAACCACCACCCTTTTTTTTCTCCTAGGAAAGCAGCATGGTGGAGAAGAATATCTACATTGTCCAGGGTGAAATTGGTACTGTAGTTGGAGCTATCAAGAGGAACTCCAGATGGAATACCCACACTCCACTGGTAAGTTAAACAACTGTTATATTTGCTTATTTTAACTGACTTTAGGTGAGATTTATTAAAGATATGAAAACTGACAGGTGAATATGGGAGTACTTTTGTCATTAAACTGCAGGTTAATTGGACAAACTACATCAATAGCGTCAGACTGATATTCCAAGGGTCAGTATTCCTCAGTTCAAAATGACTCTGATGGAAGTTGTACTTTATAATGACACTTCTCAGTGAGAATCACAGGGATGGCATTGTCATAAAGTCCATATGTTTGTAGTTTACGTTTTTAAAAAACTACAATTTTTGATTTATTTATTTGTATTATGTTGCAGTGTTATTGACCGAATTAAAATGTATAAAATATGTTTTGTTTGCCATTATAGTAGGGATGCACCGAGTATTCGGCCACCAAAATACTTTTATCACCGAAACAACACGGCTGAAAGATAAAGTTGTGCGGCCAGCACACGCTTGTCTGGATAAGCGCCAACATGTCTGCGGTGTGGACGTATTTCAATATATTTGAGAAAGACCCACGGATAGCGATTTGCAAAAGATGTAATGCTGAAATTTCAAGAGGGTTGAAAGAGTTTCTCCACGTTGGGTTTAATGTATCACCTGAAATTCAAACACCACCATTCTGAATATGAAAGATGTGGCACAAAAAGGAAAATCAACCCCCCCGTCTGTGGCGCACGTTTTTGAAAAGGCAAAGTTTTCCAGTGATGGTACCAAGGCAAAGGGCATTACACAAAAAAATATGGAATTCATTGCCTTAGATGATCAGCCATTCTCTGTCATAGAGGATGTGGGATTAATATTTTCATACTTTTGTAATTGATTTATTCTTTGAATTGCAATGCCTTGATTTTAGTGAGGTTAGTACACAGTCATAGCCATAAATGCAATGGTACTAATAATTGGCATAATAATTTCTTTCGGTGTTTCGGTTTTCGGCCTTGGTTTCCTCATTTTTGGTTTTCGGTTTCGGCCAAGAATTTTCATTTCGGTGCATCCCTACATTATAGTGCACATGTTGAGAAAATGCATTATTAGAAATGTAGAAATGAAGTAAAATGACAATATAGTAACACCTAATTTAAATATTCATCAGTTTTGCTTTGATCACTGCCCAAACATCTCTTTTTTTATTTATTTGGCCTCTATTTGATAGAGAGACAGCTGAAGATAGACAGGAAAGGGGGGCAAAGAGAGAGGGGATGACATGCAGCAAAGGGACGCAGGTCGGATTCGAACCCGAGCCGCTGCGTCTTTTGACCGGAGTCCACCTGTTGCAAATTCATGAAGCTTGTTAAAGGGCTTTTCAAACCTTGATGCAGCTTTCTTTGAAGCCATGCATGCAATATGGACTGATGAAATACTGCTGATAACTCATTATGCAAGATATTGACATGCTTCATCATACTATACATTAAACAAAAAAAAAAAAAAGCTAAAACTTGTCCTCTCCTGACCTGTATGGGTCAGGAGAGGACAGCTATTATTCTCTTACAGTACTTGCAACAAATCAAGAGTTGTTTGATGTTGGTTCTCAGCCCTAGTTGTATTACAATCATCTAATGGACTACTTATTTCAATAAAATGCATGAAAACAAGTCTAGAACCGAGATCTACTGCAACACAGTGTATCATAACTAATGCAACAAGTTGTGTGTCAAGAGGAAACGTCATTTCTGTTTTTATGCAGAATATATTTACTGAAATAATAAACAAAACTCTCCATGCATAGCCAGAACCAGTCAGCTGCTGGTAGGTTGCAGGACTATGCAGTTAAAAATCAAAGTTAACCAGGGGCAACAGGAGCTCCTAATAAACAGGAGCTACAGGTGAAACACGTTGTTAGCCTGTAGCTCCTTCAGGTTTGCTCAGTAAAATTGCATGTGAGCACTGGTGTGATGAATAGGCTGAATCTGGGTCACATGACTTCCATTTTTACAAAGGTGAATGTAGATCAAAAAACATAATCTTACACAAAATTGAAGACAAAAAACCAGCACGCTTACTGTCCCTCTACACCACTAAAACGCCAGGGCACTTAGTGTCTCATCTCTCCCTAATGGTCCAAATCACCTGCAGAGAGATAACATTGTGTCACAGTAAAAGAGTGCAGAGCTTGTGCTTTATTAAGTCCATAAGGTTCAATTGTGTTCAGTACTGTACTATATTATACTGTTCTGTACTGTACTGTACTATACTATACTTAATAAAGTACTGTGCTAATTACTAAGTTTCATAAGTATCGTATCAGATCCAACAACTCTCAATGACAAACGGTTTCTTAGATGTCCTCCACACTCTAGTCATGTTCTTCTAATGTTCTCTGTCCAGGACGAGGAACAGGACCCATTACTGAACAGCTTTGGCCACCTCAAGGAAATTCTCAACAACATTAAAGGTATGTGAGGCTGCGGAGATGAACGTAGTCTTAAGGGGATGGATGCAGTGGGAAATAGCTGTGAATTAGGGATTTTTGTCTTTCTGTTCCATGTTTGAACACAAAACATGTATAAACCTCAGCTACTCAGTACTTGAGATTGCTTTCACAAAGGGGCCTTTTCACTTTTTTTTGTCTGGATAGTAAGTGGATATTTAATCAGGTGTACTCTGAGAAAAGTTTTGGATAATTTAAGAAATTTAAAAAACACCGTATTTTAAGTATCTACTAGCTAGCAGTCAGCTACCTGCTACAAGAGCCATGTAGAAGGAGTGCTGCCGTAATGTTAACTTGTGATGACACTGTGCAGAGATAGCCTTGTTGCCTGTAACGTCCACACCAGAGGACAACTATTGCAAAAGTCGGCTCTGGTACCGAAATGAGGCACCAACATTTGCGTTGTGAATCGGGCCAGTAGGCAGGGTGTTTTGGTACCAAACTCTTGTGTTAATGCTTCATCTGTGACATGAAAATATCAGACTTCCATATAGTCAAAAGAATCAGTATTCCATCTTCATTGGAGCTGAAACAATTAGTCGATTGTCAGGAAAATAATCCCAAACTATTTTAGTATTTAATTCAAGTCAAGTCAATTTTCTAAGAAATATGTCAGGCATTTCCTCCTCTCTTTGATAGTAGTTTGAAACTTTGGGTTTTGATCCATTGATTGGATTCTTCTAATCACACTAGGGCGGCTGTGGCTCAGGGGCAGAGCGGGTTGTCCCCTAATCGGAAGGTTGTTGGTTCGATCCCCGGCTCTTCCTGTCACGTGTCAAAGTATCCTTGAGCAAGATACTGAACCCCAAATTGCTCCTGATGCTGTGCATCGGTGTATGAATGAGTTAGTTTCTGTTCGATGGACTTTCACTCAGTGAATGTGTGTGAAAGGGTGAATGTGGTACGTACTGTAAAAGCGCTTTGAGTGGTCGGAAGACTAGAAAGGCGCTACAGGTCCATTTACCATTTACTATCACCATTTACAGTGTGTTGACTGTGTGTGTGTGTGTGTGTGTGTGTGTGACTGCAGTGGTGCTTGTCCGACAGCCCCCCTCTTGTGAGAGAAGCCCAAGCTGGCTCTGAGGACAATCCTGCATGTTGTCATGCCTTTGCAATGAAAGTCCTGGCAGCTCCCACAGCCCTACAGCTCCAGTTGTAGAAGTAATAAGCAATGGGAAAGATGCAACACATGGAGCTGCACAGTCTGAGCCCCCACCGCTGTTGCCTTCCTCCAGGGAATGCCTCTGCCACTGTGAGATGGACAGGCGCTGCTGGCTGAGGGGGAATCCACCACACTGGTTAACCCTCCTCTTTCCTTTTGCCTCTCTCTATAACCCGTTCCCCTCAGCCCTCAAATCACCAAAAGACTATGTTCCTCTGTTCTCTTCACTTAAACTGATTCCATTATACTTACTGTATTTGATGGAAGTGGAATATAAAATTTAAATATTTTTTTAGGACATTTGCATGAAGTAATGAGTCCCTGTCAGGGATGTTGGAAAGCCTTGTTGCATCCTTAACTCCAGATCCCCTGTGAACCCAGTCTCTCAAATGTTACATCCATGCCCTGATGAGAGACAAAATGGAGATCAAATAACCACAGCAGAGCTGGATTCTGTGCTTGACAGACTGATCAATTTGTTTTGTTTTTGCTGCAGCAGAACAACCTAATCGATCTCTGTTGCTGTGTCTCTCATACAGAAACACAGCAATATTTTGGTAGGAAGTCTTGCGGGTGGGCTGTTTTGCTGCTGCTTTGAGGTTTCACAGTGGCCCAGCTGTCTGCTTAATGAAAGCCCAGTAATTCCATTCACTCTGGTGTATCTCTGCTCCCTCCAACAGCAAAAGCCAACCAGCAGAGGAAATGTGAATTAGGTTTCTCTCCATCTCTCTCCTCTTATTTACTCTGTTCTCCGTCTGGCTGATGGTTTCACTGCTCTGGTCCCGTTGTGTTCTAACTAGTGATTGACAGGACCATGTGCCATAGAGCCGGAGAGTAGTGCAGCTGGAAGTATATCATCTGCAATTTTAGTTGGGTAAATATAGCAGGGAGTCTTGTCAAGCAGAAAGATAAATTGTTCTGGGAAAGGAAGTGTTGTCTCTCTTTTCTGAAAGCAGCAAAAAAAAAAGTTTCCTTCAACCCCTGGAAAATGTGGTTCTCTCTCGACTTGCGAACAATGAAGGCACAGTTAAGAAGCCGGGCCAGCGATGGACCATATGTCGGGATGCTTCAGCTCCACCTTGCTCAGTCAGCCAGGCAAATCAGTCTCAGGAAGCAGCAGCCTTTCCTCTGATTTAAATGGGATGGTTTGGATTTAGCCTGATATCTAATGCCCCATCCCTAACCTCATTAGACCCATTTAATTGAGTGCTTTCCACAGCTTTGCGGCCAGCATCTGTCTTTAAATGTGCACTGGCTGGTAAAAAGTGATGGTGTGTTCTGTCCTATAAAGGTTCTTTGGTTTTATACTTATAGAACATATTGTGTTTATTATGGAAAAATAAAACTCCTGTTTTTAATTTTTCAGACAGATACAGAATTGAATAGAGGTGGGTGAGATCTGCTGCCCCATAATATACACATACTGCTGAGATTACATGGCATAGCGGACTAACCATCAGTTCAGTCACTATTTATCTTTCTTAATTTTTGAGTTGACAGTTTTGAAGTTTGAGAGCTACAAATTATACAATAAGAATTTTGACCATTTTGACCATTTGAGCCAAGAAAGTTGTTGTTGTTTTTTCCTGCTACATAAAAAATGTCCACCTCTAAGTACCAAACCATCATTTGCGTGTACCATTAACCCCATAAAATCTTTTAATTGTTAATTACACATCCTTAAATCCATAAATTGTGGTTATATGTTGTTCACAATTTGATATTACTTTGAACATTATTATTTTGATTATTGTCATGACATTTTGAACCTTTATCTTATATGTTTTGTGGTATAATATGACTTAATCAGTGGTAGTTGGTAGGGCTTTTGTGATAACTGCAATAATTGAATACCACTACTAAATCTGGTATTTTGACGTCCCTGCCCAGGATTACAATGTTACACACACAAAAAAAGTCACATAGCCTCACTCGCTCTGGAAAAACTCCATACTGGAAACACCAGTATTCTTCTAATAGAAAACACTGACTGCTCCTCTAATTATCCCAGTTCGCCATAGCTGTGGCGTTAGTGTTCCAAGGCTCGCCAGTGTTTCAGTTAAACAAGTGACTTTCGGGTGAATATGTCAGTTAACTGGCGACCTTATTCGGCTGAAAGTGGCCAGACCCAGGAGGCAAGAGGAGGGAGAGTGCAGGTGATTAGTACAAGCAGGTACTGAAATGAAACATTATCCCGCAGTACCCCTTACAGAGTAGTTAGTAAAAACAACAAAAATGGCGGTAATACTGCATGCTGCGCTGTTGAGCCACACTGAAAAACAGCAGGGGAAAATCCTTCAGCGGGACATCCCTAGTGGTTGGTGAACAGTTTGCCAAAAGGACCATTAGCCGTTTAACTGACATGAATAGCCATGTGTGCTGTGTTACCTCTAATCCAGGCACTATATTGGAATTAAAAACAAGCAACTTATAGTTACAAATTGTCTCTAAGATTTGTTTTGTTGCTGCATGTAAGCATTAACTCAAATGATCAGCTGTCAAATATAAAGAAAGTCTTGTCGTATTTGATGTTCTAACATCTGAAGTACTGTTTTGAACTGCAGATTGAGCCTTTGTCTCTTACCTGACATTGACAAGGGGTCTCTCCTGTACAGGATTGTCATCACACAGACAAATCTGTCTCAATCTCTTGTTGAATAATTCTGTGGATTTATTTTATTGCCGGACTACACCTCCGAGAGTAAGAGAGCGTGGAGAACAGCCTTTCATTCTGACATACATTTTATTTTATCTCCTGCTTTTTTTTTTTTTCTTCAGCTGCACCTTTTTTTATGCAGAAGTCACTGAGCCTCAGCTTCTCAAATCTTCTATTCTCTTCTTCCACCCTCCTCTCCCATCAACCCCCTCCACTGCAGCGAAGGTCAGATTTTTGACAAGTCTGCAGAAGAAACAGTCTGCTTCTAAATCCCTTCATTTTTATTCATACAAATACAGGTTTAGAGCCCCTTGCAGCCCCCCAGATACAAAGCCAGAGTGGCCTTTTGACTGACAGCTTTCTCTTTTTCATCCAAACACTAACGAAATTCACAAGCACACCTCTAATTGACTCGAATCACCAGCACAGCAGCAGAGGTAGATATCAGGGGGCATGGCAGTGGATTTGTAGAATGAACATTGTGGAGGATGATTTGATTACTCTCCAGCTGACCTTTACAATAATTATCCTGGTTTCCCCAAAGCAAAGCACAAAGCACAGCTAATTTGGCATGGAATAGTAGAATAATGGCAAAAATAATATATTTTTAATCACAAAGCTTGAAGCTCATCACGTGCACTCATTTATTTTATTTGTTGCAATAAAATGACTGTACTCAGTGGTGCCGGTATAATGATACACATGTTTTGAAATGTTTTCCTTTTGTTTTCACACAGCCTAATCCACGTGTTACTGACAACCTCACTAATTCATCACATTTTACAGTCATGTCAGTCATCAAGAGAGAATGCACACATGCCGTCCCTCTCAGCCCTATTTCAAGGTCAAGCACGAGTGTTTGTCGTCTCAGTCCCCAGCTGTGGTCAGGCTGGCGTTGGCGGGCCTCTGGGGAAAGCAGCCTGAGCACTTGGGAACTGGCGGTGGCCTTTTACCCCCCTCTTCCAATCTTTCAGCCCCCCCACCTTCCTCTTTCCTGCCACCTGATCTTCACACATATATCACTCCCAATTGAAGCAACAGAAGGCAGCTGGCAGAAGCAGAGGAGGAGGAACCATAATTCATGTCGCTCAGCCACTTATGCAAATATGTTTACTCATGGAGGCATTCTGAGCAAGGAGAATCTGC